CTAGGGAAGGGTTAGTAAATGTCCGTAAAAAAGAAAAGGGAAAAAATACCCTTGTTTAGTCTGTATGAAATTTTCAAAAGTTCTTGGGTTGCTAAAGGATTATTGAATTTTCAGATGAGTTTATGTTTTAAAATGTCAAATTTAAATAGTACTGTGAACAGAGAACTGACAGTGAAATTAAAACATCAAGTTTCACAAACACTAGTTTGGCACTGTAGTTGGAGGTTAAAACACATTAAGGCTTTTATGTGTAAAATAAGAACTAACATTAGCTGTTTAATGTGCATTGTAGAATCCCACCATTCTGCCTACTGTGAGTGTTTAAAGTACTAGAATCTGTCATGATACCGCATTTCTTCTTTTATTTCAGGCATTAAATGCAGAAGAGGCTCGTCTGCTGCAGGTTAAAGAAATCATGCAGTTAGATGAGAGGAAGAGGCCATATAACAGCATGTATGAAACACGGGAGCCTACAGAAGAGGAAATGGAGGCTTACCGAATGAAACGCCAAAGACCTGATGATCCTATGGCCTCCTTTCTTGGACAGTAGTTTATGTGAAAGACATTCCAGCACACAGTTCTTAGCTATTATATGTGATGGCTTTTTTTTTTTTTTTTTAATCGTGTAACTGAAACTTTTCTTTCCACATATTTTAAAAAAAACAACCAAACTCCCAAAAACAACAAAACGACAACAAAAAACCAAACCAAATACCTGCAGAAGTCTATTAATGAAGTTAACAGCTGATGCTATAAGCATATTAGTGCTTTCTTTTTTTAAAAAAAGTATATTTGGTGCAGACTTGTATTACTGAAAGTTAACGTCTTCTAGAATTCATTGTATTGGGAGAGAGGAATCAATAAAATCCAGGGGAAAAAAATTGAATCTAGCCCAGTTGGCCAGCAGGTGTCACTGTTATATAAAAATGGAAGGACTGTATCACTTATGCACAGCTAAGATTTTCTGTGTAGCCATTCTATGCTAGAAGGAAAGAGCTCTGTGGCTGGCATAATTAAACCACACCCAGCAAGCAGGTAGTGTAAGCAGTTAACTGGGATTCTGGGGGTAGGGGCTGGTCCAGCATGGCTGCAATGGCCTCCCTACCTGTGCCATAGCGCTCTGGGCCGCTGATTAACCAGTTATCGGTAAGCAACCCTAGTACCCATATCAGTCGGAGACCCTCTCCCACCAACATAGCACGGTCTACACTGACACTTTTGTAACATTCTGCACAGACAAAAATGCTAATGTAGACAAAGCATTAAAAGCAGTAGGCTACGATGGCTATAAATGTCTCTTGAGACTCCTCTTATGTGTAGCACAATAGGGGAAAATAGTTGTTCTTAATATCATTTTGGTAATTGTTTTAGAAATGCAATAATGTGTAAAAACAGATATGATTTGATGTACAGACTTGGTTGAATACAATATAAATGTCCTTTAACTAGGAATATCTGACTCTTCTTGATGTTTCAAAAAACTGATACTCAGAGCTTTGAAATTTTTCCTGTGTTTTAGCCAGCATTGTATACACTTCCAAGTACAGCACTGATGTCATGTGAGAAATTGCATTTATCATGAAACTTTGAGTGCTTCACCTACTCTGTCCTTCCTCATGCTTGTCCAACAGAATTCAGTCTCCTTTTCTAAACATTTTCTAAACATTTGAGTAGTTAGGATAGACAGACAGCATTACTATGATGGTCATATTTTATTAAACATGTATTTCATTAACCCTATGTCCATACCAAAACTCCATCTTATATTGTGGAATATTAAGTGACGGGTTTAAGATCTAATCTCTTATAGTACCTCAATTAAAAATACGCTATTTATGATTGGGAGGTTGTGATTCACAGAGTTCCGAAGATGCAGATGGATGGCTGAGTTTTTGGATATGACAATTCCAGTGTGACATTGTTGACACTTCTAAGAAATATATAATTCTCTCCCTTGGAAGAATGCACAGTTGAATTAATATTAACAGAACCTGGCTTTGCAGCTGAAAGGATTAAGAAAATAGTCCCAATGGAATTCTTAAAACATGTAATATCTCTTAAATATATGGTTTATATTGGTTTCTGTAGGGGTCAGACATAGAAAGCTTTGTTAGCATTCTTTGACTCATGCAGGTCACTCTTGAACTGCAAAACATGGGAGTTGTACTCACATATCATTATAAAATACCATATTACACTATTTTTATTTTTTAATCTTTTTATAAATAGAAGCCCAGTTAAACTGTGGAAAGATATTCTGACTTAATACCATTTCAGATAAATAGTTATTGGTATAACTATCAGCTAAAATCCAATGTTACAGTACAGAATGGGGTTGATTTGTCACTCCATTTTGTATTGGCTTTTTCCTGTCCTTGTTTTTAATACACCTACAAATTCTGGAATATCCTTTGTTCTCGGACTATCCGGACTCGTATAAAAACTTGAATATTAAATAAACAATATGTATCTATGGGAGGGGTGATGAGCATTAATGTAATACTGTCAAGAGAAAAGAAAAGCCCTAAAGTCTAAGCATTCTGATTTTGCAGGTGAGGGTTAAAAAAACAAAACACAGAGTTAGGAAATCATACTCTGCTCCTAGCATAGAAAGATCATCCTCCTTCTCTTTGTAGTTAGATCCCCGTCTTCCACCCAACTTCATCAGTGATTCTATGCACTTTTCATAAATAGACTCCTCAACAAGAGAGAACCCACATCATCAGACTTCAGCCGGCAGCACATGCCCAAGTGTGTCTATATCTCTTGTTTTTATTTATGTATACTGATTACATACATCTTTTCATTGAAGATTATATGTTTCCCATAAGTATGCTATACATACAAATACATACGTTACTTTAGCTTTGTATATGATAGCTTGCAGGCTTCTTTTTAAAAAAAAATTGCAACACCATTTGTATGATTCAGGAACACTTATGGCCAAATTCCACTCTGCAACCAGCATTGTAGCTTGCCTTTAAATACTTATGGAACTCACTAAGCTGTTCATAGAAGTTTCATTTTGAGGTAGAATGCAGAATATGCCACAGATTTTATACTGAGTCCTATACAGCAGATCTAAATATAGGACTCAGGCCATATCCTCTTCAGGTCAGACTATGAAGCACAATCTTTCCAAGAAGGGTAATACAGTTATTGTTTGAATTGGGAGTTAGCACTGTTGATTTAGCAAGTCTACATTAAGGCTATGTCTACACGGGCAGCTTCTTGCACAAGAACTCTTTTGCAGAAGAGTTCTTGTGCAAAAACTCTTCCAGAACAGAGTGTCTACACTAGCATGTGCTTTTGTGCAAGTGATGTGCTTTTGCACAAGAGCATCCATGCCAGTGTAGATGCTCTCTTGCGTAAGAAAGCTCTGATGGCCATTTTAACCATAGGGCTTTCTTGCGCAAGAAATTCATGTTGCCTGTCTACACCGGCCTCTTGCGCAAGACCAGTTGCGCAAAAGGGCTTATTCCTGAGCAGGAGCATCAGAGTTCTGGCGCAAGAAGCCTTGATTTCATACATTAGAACATCAGTTTACTTGCGCAAGAACACGCGGCCGGTGTAGACAGGCAGCAAGTTTTTGCGTAAGAGCAGCTGCTTTTGCGCAAGATTGTGCCAGTGTAGACACAGCCTAAAAGTCCTAACTGGCATCATCTTGGCAATCCAGCCAAGAAGAATACCCTATAAATCCCACTGTTGAGATTTGTTACTGTGTTGATAAGTGTTTGTTTTCTTAATACTGTTCATATGAGGGGAAAATAGTTGTTCAGAATTAGATACTCTTGGTCTTTAAAGGTATGTCTAGACTACATGGCTCTGTCGACGGAGCCATGTGGATGAGCTTTCTAGATGCAGGGAAATGAAGCAGCGATTAAAATAATCGCCACTTTATTTACATCAAAATGGCTGCTGTGCTGTGCTGTGCTGATCAGCTGTTTTGCAGCACAGTGCGGTAGTCTGGATGCTCCGTGATTGACAAGGGAAGCATAACAGGGCATAACGGGGCGGTCGACAAGGGCTTCCCTTGTCGACCGCGGAGTGTCCAGACTACCACGCTGTGCTGCCAAACAGCTGATCGGCACAGCACAGCACAGCGGCCATTTTGATGTAAATGAAGTGGCGATTATTTAAATCGCCGCTTCATTTCCCTATGTCTAGAAAGCTCATCTACATGGCTCCGTCAGCGGAGCCATGTAGTCTAGACATACCCCAAAATATTAACATTTCATAACATTTTAAGACTATATTTTCTACTGTGTAAAATATAAATTAATACATTTTCTTTTAAGAAGAATTTGAAATCTTCATAATCAAAGTCTATCTTAAACCATATTCATCAATGCAGAAATTCAGTAAGTTTCTGAAGACATGAATATATCTTTTCTCTGCATGCCCAGCTTTCTTCAGCTAAAAAAGTCTACAAGGTTCATGGACAGCTTGCCCTCTAGCAGAGGAGAACATGAGAAAACAGGAACAGATTATTGCTGTAGGATTATTCTTTAGACTGCAAGTCTTTGAGAGCATGAGAAATGCAGAAAACTCTATTCTAAAGCTGCCTCAACAAATAGAGAGATTGAAATGTTTTATTTATAGCATAGTAGTCCAAGGTCAAAAGGATATAATAGACCTTAGTGTTAGGGATTCATTTTCCTCCAACTGGACTTCTTTGGGCTTTAGTATGTAATACAGGATCATGTTTATCAAATAATTTTAAATTTTCTAGTGGAGGCAGTCTTTGACCTTCAAAATAAACTTGCTTCAAATGTAAATATAGGATTGGTCAGAAAAAAAAATGATATATTGCACAAAGCCAGAATATGAGAATATCCAGCCTCCTCTGACAAATAGCAAAAGCTGGGAACTGATGCTATGGTCCTTAAGTATGTTAAGGATATTAGAGGTGTGGTAAGAGGAAACTATGCCTCTTGGCTTGTTGAGGCAGACTAATCAAAAGCTCCCACTTTAATAAGATGAATTTCTAGCAGTCCACACAGTCCAATCATAGGGATTTTTTAAATTAGAGTTACAGGATGGACTCTATAGGCAAATCTCTTAAGACTAGCAGCATGATTTCTCAATTCCCTGTGTACCATCTCCCTCAATTTCCTCTGATATTCTAACAGTATGTGTCTTGGAACTAACAGTTTGGTGTGAGTTCATGGGTACGTCTACAGATTAGGACTAAAGTCGGAATAAACTAGGCAACTTGAGCTATGTCAATTGCGTAGCTTAAATTGATATAGCTTATTTTGGCTTTTGGCACATCTGGGAGGCCCTGAGGGAGAGTTTCAGCCAGGGTCAGCTGTGAGACTCTTCCCTTGCTCCTGGATGCATCTGTGGCCCTTGTGGCCCAAGCTGTCAGCCATCCAGCTGTAGACATTCAGGCTACGACTACACTGGCCCCTTTTCCGGAAGGGGCATGTTAATTTCAGCCATCGTAGTAGGGAAATGCGTGGGGGATTTAAATATCCCCCACGGCATTTAAATAAAAATGTCCGCCGCTTTTTTCCGGCTTTTAGAAAAGCCGGAAAAGAGCGTCTACACTGGCCCCGATCCTCCGGAAAAAGCGCCCTTTTCCGGAGGGTCTTATTCCTACTTTGAAGAATAAGAATTCCTTTGAAGTAGGAATAAGACCCTCCGGAAAAGGGCGCTTTTTCCGGAAGATCGGGGCCAGTGTAGACGCTCTTTTCCGGCTTTTCTAAAAGCCGGAAAAAAGCGGCGGACATTTTTATTTAAATGCTGCGGGGGATATTTAAATCCCCCGCGCATTTCCCTACTACGATGGCTGAAATTAACATGCCCCTTCCGGAAAAGGGGCCAATGTAGACGAGCCCTCACATTCCTGTGCCTAGTGCTGAGATCCTGGAGGTTTGCTTCCTCTCCCCAGACCTCAATGAGGTCCAGGATCTCTATACCAGATCAGGAAGGCGTGCACATCTTTTGTTCCCAGGCAGGGTTCTGGGAGCTGGCAGCTTCCAGCCATGGAGGGTTTGGGCAGAGTACAGGGGTCACTCATGGCAACATGAACAGCTGTGATGGCTGCTGCTATGTGGCACAGGGGATACAAGTAGACTGTGGGGAGCGGGGTTGGGATACCAGAGGTATACCGTAAAAACTCCGCCGTGCAAAAAAAAAGCAGAAGAGCAAACACGCTCTTTTGGAAGCCCTTGTGTTCCTCATTCCACAAGGAAGAAGGGGGTTTTCAAAAGAGGGTTTTTTTCAAAAGTTTTGCCCAGTTTAGACGGGCCAAATTTTGGAAAAGCCTCTTCCAAAACAACTTTCGGAAAAAGGTACACAAATTGCAGAGTGCAACTTGCGTACCTTTTTCTAATAAAGCATTGTAGTCTAGACTTTCTTTCTTTTTCACATAAACAGCTTTCAAGACCTGACATTTGAGGGTTGTCAGGACCTGTGTTGTGCCACAAGCCCTTTCCCCTGTGGCA